CCATATAATTAAAAATGAATTTATCTGTATAAAACTGTATTTTAGTAATGAAATGGAGATCTTTTTTTAAAGTTTAAAACCTCATTTAATTTTATGTCTTATGGGGGTTATATGGAGTACAATATTGTATAGCGGTATCAATTCAACTGTAAACCTAGGGATTTGCAGCCAATTTTGAAAGAGATGCATCTTAGCTCTGGAAATTGTAATTGAATATGTCAATGCTGTTGTAATGAAATGCTTCTTCTAATTATATGGTTATTAAATAAATAATTAAAAAAAAATAACCTGAGTAAGCCTGAAAAGCAGCCCTTAGGTCCTACATCCGTTTCACTCCTCTGTAGGTCTCTGCGCTCTCCCTCACCCCAATAAGGACTTAGACAACGTTGCATGTGTTAGAAAAATCATAGAGCAAAAATTGACTGATGATTGCTTTTATGTGCAAAGAAATCTGTGTCCGGTGAAATCTGTATCTACTGGATATGCGTGTGTGCTGTTAATGGCATTTAAATACACTTATTTCTCAAAAGGAAGACCAGCACTTTGCTCTGCTCAGGAGGAATTTAAATTGACTATATTTGGTTGAGCCGAGTGAAATCTGAAGATAAAATGAATAAATTATTGGTATTTATCTAATCTCATATGTTAATATCTTCCCTTAGGAAAGCAGCAGATGGTCTTTTAAGACTTGATGAAACACTGAACACGTTGCAACAAGCTCAAATCACTCAAGGCCAGGCCAACTCAGCTCTGACACAGCTGACTGCTGAACTGGCACACGTAAAGAAAGGCGTGCTGCAGGTACTCTATCGTCTTGAGCTCAGCCAAAATCGAGCTGAAGGTGGAAAAACACAGTAGTTGTTACATAGACTAATATCACTCTTGCCCCACTTGTCTGATGGGATAATTATGAGAATAAGCTGAGATTTGGGTGAGACTATGCACTTATTTAATGTTCCACATTAGTGTTAATAATTTCACTACATTAAAGTTGATGGGATTATGCATTTGGATATTGTTCTCCAGAGCCCTTTTAAGCATGACCTGGCAGTGGCAGAGAGATGGGTGTTGCCAGACACTACCACCAGTTTAGGGAACTAGGACTCAGAGACCTTATGTGACTGTCTCAGGTCACACAACTAATTAACTGTAGGTTTGTGAACAGAGCTCCACTATCTGGGATAGAGAACAGGCTTCAAAGCTCACAAACCATAGAACTAAAGGGTTCCTTGTTGCAAGGCTGTTGAACTTGACTTGCTGAAACTAAGAAAGTATCTCACTGAACAGAACTAGTCCATCCTGAAGTTGTGGGAGCAAGGCCCTGGTGTGATGAATCCTCCTCCACAGTTCCAACTTTGGTTGTATGTCCTTCCAAACAGGGTTGAAAGTCACTGCGTCTCCAGGACTCAGCTGTATTTCACAAATGTACTTTAGTCATCTTGAGAAGAAAAGCAATAAGTCACAGGACAGGAAGCAGTGCACCAGGAAATAAAATGATTATGTGGGAAGAGTCTGCATACATAGTATGCATACATAGCCCCTGGCTTTCCCCTTTCCAAACACATCCTCTAAAACAGGGGCAGGCAAATGCAGTCATGGCCATGTTGCCTGTGGCTGCTTTGAACTACAATATCCCATCGTCAGATAGCTGTGGCAGAGACAGTCTGGACCACAAAATGCAAAGCATGTGTACCACTTTTCTCTTTACAGAAAAAGTGTGCAGCCTCTTGCTGTAGACAAACTCCTACATATACCTAAGGACATGGATTTCTATATCTCAAAATATGGTAGACCAATCCCATAAGGAACCTTCCTAGTAGAAAAGAACTAAAAATGTTACACAAAGATATTAGTAAGAATCCAAAGCTATCCTCAGAGGCCAAAATGACCAGGAAAACATGAATCCAGAGAATTAAGCAAGTGGCAGAGGGCACCTGCCAAAATCAAAACCTCTGTCTCTCTCTGTCTCTCTGTCTCTCTGTCTCTGTCTCTGTCTCTGTCTCTCTCTCTCTCTCTCTCTCTCTCTCTCTCTCTCACACACACACACACACACACATACATCACATATACCTCAGTGAATAATGAATAAAGAAACTTGCTTCTGGGTAGGGGAGTACTCAGTTTCCTATGGAAATTGTTATCCAAAGCTGGCTCTCACATAAGTTGGAGTTAGAATTCATATTACCAACCAAGATAGCCCCAAAACTCAAACTCAAGATGTTACTTAAAGTGGCCCTAGTTGGTTAGTACTCCCAGATTCTGCCTCACAGTGCCAAACAGAAATACCTTTGAAGGATCTTAAACTGAGCTTCTAAGAATTCTCACCTAACATATAAAGAAACAAATTGTCTCACACACGAGCCATCAGAAACAAACAAACAAAAAAAAACAACAAAACAGAATGCAAAGGACTATGGATATTATTATTATTGGATAAAAATACAAAATAAGAGTGTTTACCATGTTTAAGAAAATCAAAGAAGGCATAAAGTATGACCAATAAATAAGATATAAGATAGCCAGATTTTCAAAACAATTAAACAGGGCTTCTAGATATGACCAATATAGCCACTGACAAGAAAGAATCAAACATAAAATATTCATTATTGTGCGTATGGGGAAAAATGTAAACACCACCTGTACCAAATAGAGAACAGAAAAATATATTTTCTTTATTCAAACAATAGATGCACTAAGTGAGTAAAAATGAATAAAATAGGACCATATAAATTAACTTGGGCAATCTGTATAAACTCAATTTGTGTGTACACGGTATATGTATGTGTTTATGTGGGAATGGACATTTATGCATATAGATGCACATGCACCTGTGTATGCAGGAATGTGGAGGACAAAGGTTGACAGGTGCTTTCTCAATCACTCTCCTCCTTAACCTTATATTTTTGAGACAGTCTCTCTCTGGAACCCAATGATTCAGCTAAGCTGACTGGTCAATGCACTCCAGGGATCCACCACTTCTGCCTCCCCAGCCCTGGCATTATAATCAGGCCTGGCTTTTATATGAGTGCTGGAAATCCAAACTCAGGTCATCATGTTTGTGCTACAAGCACTTTACTGACTGAGCCCCTTTGCACCAGCATAATTCTGATTTAGGAAAAAAAAAAGTTGTAAAAGCGTACAATATATTTTGCACAAGACAAAAACCTTTAGCTACTAAATGTTGTTAGGAATACTGCACAGGATGCAGCATAAAGCCTGTAGGAATGCGTAGACTGTCCAAAGGTAGGTTCCGCACAGTGGCTGAGCTGCCTGGGAGGAGGGGAGAGGTGATATACTGGGAGTCCTCCAGGGCTCTGTCTGATTAAGTGCTATATTCCTAAACTGGCTGGGCACAAGGATATTTCTTGTACTTTTTTAGAACCTTCTGTATAGAAGTCTCATTTGTTTTGTTTTACGTTTGTTTCATTTATTTTGTTTTTTTTGTTTGTTTCATGAAGTGATTTTTTTTTTTTTCCTTTCTGGTCTTTAAATCAACAATAGGCTGAAAATCAAGGCAAAGAAATAAAGAATCAGCTGTACCTAGCAGAGCAACAGTTTGAGCTGGAGGATGAACTCTCCCTGCTGTGGACCAAGTGGCACAGGAACCAGGAACAAGCAGGCAGGGCGAACGTTCAGGCTGAGTCTGCCAGTCACCAGGCTCGGGGCGCTGAGAAGGTCATTTTTCCTCCCACTGCTGGCAGGAGCCCCAGTGTTTCTTTGAAGGCTAATCCTTTAACCTCGGATTCTTGGGCCATTGCTCAGAATTTCCTCTCGTGCTGATCCACACTGGTAGACTATGTTTGAAGGGACCTAATGCAGGGCGAGGGGGGAGGATCCTGTGCAGTGAAAGACAAAAGCCATGTTGGAGTGTTTCCTGGTCACATAGTACATAAGTCACAAATTTCCTAAACTAGCATACTTTAGCATTTTGTATTAGTAATGCGTATTGTATGCATTTGCCTTTAATTCAGTCCCATAGCATATAAAAAAATAGTAAATGAAAGTCAACTGCCAAAGAGTTAGGATCAAGTTACAAACAGGTTAATTAAATGGCTGTGGAAAGTGTCCATTCATTTAAGTTGCCGAAAGGACCCATCAACTCATCTTAGCAGGAGAACTTTGGTTGGCTGCATGAAGATAGAAGCTTACACAAAAGGAAAAATTTTGGGTTTTTACAACTGTTCTGTTCTCTTGCTTTGAATTCCTAATGTGCTGGATAAACTTTCCATTGCCTGGGGAGCTGGGAACATTTTCTACAGAGCAGATGTTAAGAAAGGGGCTTCCTGCTCACCTTCATCCCTCTTCCATCCTGCATGCCTGACTCTAGCCTTCACTCTTACCTTCTAGGATATCAGCAATAGATGCTGATGCCAGAGATTCCTGCTTGAACGCCAAGAGAGCATCATGCTAACTCTTTCCCTTCCCTTTCTGACTCCCATTTCTCTCTTTTTCTAATCAAAAAGCATGTCCTGCTGCTTCTAAATCTTCACCACTCTGCCCTTCATTTTGGATGTACAACTGTTTGACCCAACTAAACCAGAAACTGGTGAAACATGCAATTAGGTCATTTCTGTCTTCTGTATCTCCCACAATAAGTAGCGAAGAACAAACAATTGGCATTCCATAGATGATTGTCTCAATATGCAACAATAATTAATATTTTAAAATAAAGAAGTTTGTTTGAATTCATAAAAGCTGGTTTTTCTCACTCTTTGAAAAAAAAAAAAAGCATACAAGGGGCTGGAGAGATGGCCCAGCAGTTAAGAGCACTGGCTGCTTTTAAAGAAGATCCAGATTTGAGTCCCAGCACCCATGTGGTGGCTAACAACCATCTGTAACTCTAGCTCCAGGGGATTCAATGCCTTCTTCTGTCCTCCTTGGGCATTGTACAACATGGGTGCACTTACATGCATGCAGGCAGTACACGCATACACATAAAATAAGTGATAAAATATTAAAAAATAAGTAAATAAATAAAAATTTTAAAAGCATGCAAATCAAAGCCCTCTTAAAGCACATAAGTGACTCAAGAACACTGAATGAACTACTGCTTCCTCTGTGTTCTTAGCAAGAGAACCTTCATGCATGTGACATGCTTATAATTCTTTCTGGTGATGGGAGTATGGCTCTGTTACAGGCGTTTGTGGAGCTGAGGAAGCAGCATGCTATTCTTCAACATAAGACAAGGACCATGGGACTGACAAAGGAAACCTTAGGAAGAATGAAACAACTCCAAGATGCTGCTAAGAAACTGGCTGGAGATACAGAGGACAAGATACAAAGGATAACAGGTACCTGTTTACCCACACTGTCAATTCCATAGTAAGTGACATCATAATACTCTACCTCCCTGATAGAACTCACACTCATTTCAATTTATCATTAACATGACTTAGCCATATATAAGTCCACTGAGGAGTGAAGTAGGAGTTGGTCTTATATGTGAAGGACTGTAAAGTACTGAGCATCTTGCATGGATTTGCCTAGGAAGGTGTGAATGAGAACCTTCATTGCATTAGTCAGAAGTGGGATTCCCTTCGAATGTCCTTTCTTCAACTCAGTGTTCTCAACTAGAGGAGAGATGTCTGAAGACACTTTTTCTTATGAGGCCAGAGTTGCTACTAAACATAGTACAAAGAATGGGACAAGGGCTGGGGATGTTCTTCAGTTGGTACAGTTTGGCCTTGCAACCACTTACATCATCACTATGACATGGAAACAACGAAAACTGCAATGTAGGTACGGGGCAAAGTCAGGGAACTACATGCCATGTTGTTACCATTAGCCATTTCTGCGTTGCTAGGGGGAATGAAAAAGAAACCACCATGTTTCTACATTTGTATAATTGTCTTAAAAGCAGTGGGCTTGCTGGTATTTTTCCCATTTTTTATCAGTTTCCTAAAAAGTTTTTAAAGAAAATAGTAGAAAAGACTCAAAAAGGCAGTTTTTTTACCTTACAGTCCATAGCTAGTACCATGAAAATCAGTTTCTGTTATCCTTAGACCTTAATCCTTATATAGGGGTGAAAACATGGGAAGAGTCTTCTATCTTACACTTTCTGTCCAAATTGTTTCCATTTTCCTGTGTTACTGACATTACAGTTCAAGAAATTGAGTTGGAAGGAAAATTGAAGCTAGAGACCTCTCTGAGTGGTCTAAAGGTCCAGGGGTTCACAGGGGGAACACATTCTGCTTTCTTTGCTTTTTTTACTTTAAGGCAGCTTACACAGCTCAACAAGCTAAAAAAACAAGACACTGATTTGACTACCATCCCATCCTGCCACTTGAGAAGGTTACAAACAGCTATTAAGAATAGACGCCCACAGGATCCCTGTGAGAGCCTTGGGTAACACCAGGTTGAGAGAGTGAGACATGGATCCCAGCCTGCAGCCAGGGTTCCTCACAAACCGTTGTCAGTCAGGGCCCCAGCTAGACATAGAAAGCATGTTTACCATAATTATGGGTGAGGTACTTATGACTGAGTTGTCTCTGTTATCTATTCACTACGTAGTAAACCACCCAGAATTGGATGGCTTAAAAGAATAGCCATGCCTTTTTTGCACTGGGTCTCCTGGCTGGGTCTTCTACAGGTCCCATCTGGAATTCCTAAGTAACTGCATTAGGCTGAAGGCCAGAGGGCCAGTCTATCAGGAACTGGTCTGTAATCCCTGCACAACTGGTTCAGGATCCCCGAGGGTAAGAAACAAAGCTGCCAGGCTGGCTCCTGCAGCCCTGCCACACCATTATCCCAGTGTAGGAGCGGGAGAGAAAAATAGGGCCTAGATCTTTGAAATATTTTTAATTTCTTTAATTTTAATTGCATTTGTTTGTCAGTTTGTTTATTTATTATTTATTATTTATTTGTGTATGGGAAAGAGGTCCATGTGCCACATAGAGGTCTGAGAAGAACTTTCAGGAGTCAGTTCTCTCTTTCTACCATGTGGGTCCTAGGGATGGAGCTCAGGTCGTCAGGTTTGGTGGCAAATGCCTTTACTGGCTGAGCCATCTTGCCAGCCTTAGGTTCTACTTCGTTTTAAAATTGTTTATTTGTTATTTATTTATTTATTTATTTATTTATTATCTTATGTGAATTTTGCATGCATGTATGTAAGCTTACCCATGTCCTGCCATGCCTGCAGAGATCAGGAGAAAGAATTAGATCCCCTGGAACTGGCTGTTAGTCACCATGTGGGTGCTGGGATTCGAACCCAGGTTCTCTGCAAAAGCAGCCAGTGCTCTTAATTCCATCTCTCCAGCCCCAGGTTCTGCTTCTTGATGGAAGGAACCATGAAGGATACAGAAGAATTTGGGGAATCAGCAGAGGGTATGAAGTGAGAGGCCTTTAGCATCTCCAGGCCTGAAGGAGTAAGGCAGTAGGAATGTTTCCAGAGTCCTGTGAACCCTGGAGCCCTGAGAAAGAGGCGCAGCAGCTGGAGCTGAGAGATGAAAGAGCTGCCAGGACCTGGTGCTGGACAGGAATGGAGACGCTTGCTCTCACTGTGATCCCTTGTCAGCACATTCCGCTGCCAAGTGTGAATGAAAGCAGAGGTGGAGTGAGCCGGGTGATGTCATGGTGGAGGCTTAGCTTTCCAGGACACTGAACGGGATGGAGCCTGGAACTGGTGGGGAAAGGAAAGCTAGCCTGCTCAAACATATCAATTTACCTAACAGAAACACAGGGTCTTTTTTCAGACATGTTCCAGTGTTGAGTCCCCTTTCAACTCCAAATGACCCGTATTTGAAAGTTTCTGGTGACAGACTGCTCACTGCTTCCCCCACAGCTCTTTAGTCTTTGAATAGCAGTAACCGCTATACAATTCTTCTTTATAGTCAGACAAAATCTTCCTTCAGCAGGCTCTCACCTGCCGCTTTTCATTTTATTTCCTCAGGATGACAGAGAACACACTGCTTTCTAAGCTGGCATTTCAAGTACTTGAAAAATAGCTATGTCACAGGCTCAGAATCTTCTTTTCTCCATATGAAACATCACAACAGCATTTGTTAGAGAACAAGTTCAGATTTCTTCAGCAGTCTGACCCTTTCCTCTACCACCTGCTAGTTTCACAGTCATTCCAAGCCAACCCAGTCTTCAGGCGTGTTCTGAGCAACGAAGGGAGAGCATTACTTTCGCATTTCTAGAAGGTCCATTTCTACCTAAGGTCAGGGTTTCTTACCAAAAGCTATCCCATGTTGTTCCTTGTAGCCTCTGTGCCTCTGGTATCTCCTATTCTGTGGGCTCCTTATGAAGGTTTATTTATTAAGGTTTATTCCCAAATATTTGTCAAGTGAATAATAAGTGAATAGACAGGCTGATTGATAATGAGTGGCTGGATGTGCATGATGCCAAGGGAGGATCAGTTTGCTCTCACTGTTCAGGAGCTTCAGTGTCAGTGAGGCAATTTCTGGAAAACCAGAACACTCTAAGTTAAAATACTGAAAACAAAATACTTTGATTTGGAAAATATAGAGCTTCACCAAGTCCAATCAAGGCTTTTTGTGTCTTTTAATCTCTAATGAAATCTCACCAGCTGTGGATGGCATCTTTAAATGCCTTTCAATATAAATTTTTTAGACAAAAGCATCAGTTTTCTCTTATTTATGTGAAAAGTTTGAGAAGTCTCGTGAAAAGAGATGTTTTACTTACTGAATCAAAAATATAACTAAAAGGCACACACATCCCTAAGTCTACACCGAGGGCCAACAGGAAGGACTATTAGTGGACATACATCATTCTTTGCATCTTCTTACAGATTTAGAAAAGAAGATAGAAGATTTGAATCTAACCAGACAAGAAAAAGCTGATCAACTGAAACATCTGGAAGATCAAGTTGTCACCATTAAAAATGAAATTGCCGAGCAAGAGAAGAAATATGCCACCTGCTATAATTAGGCAAAGTTCAAATGCAGAAGCTGGGCCTATGTTTATGGCATTTGATGCACAGTGCTGAACTAAGTGAACACTACAGCCACCTCCTCATCGACCCTCACCTGCTCTTCACCATGGACCTGCTCAGTGCACCTGGAGGGAGGCACTTGGGTCAGAAAAAAGTCAAATCAGTGTCCCTCCATAATAGAAGGAGGGAGGGAAGATGGTTGTTTCTGGCTTCCCAGACCTTTCCTCTCTGCCTTCCTTTCTTTTCCATAACTTCAAATAATTGGTACATCTGACAAGTAAAAATTTAAGTACATTCTCTACTTATCAGTCATCATTCCATAAGATGAGCCTCAACACAAAGCAAATAGTAGACAGCAGCAAGGATGGAGCGTGTCCTAAAGTTCCCATGTACTTGAATTTGCTTCTTACTATTAAAATTTCATTCTAGTCTAAGGAAAATGCATACAACTCAAATGTAACTGCCATTAAGCTTTCCCACTTATTCTTGCAACCACAGGATTCCATTTTCATCAAATGGCACTGGAACAATAAAAAATTGAACTGCTTTTCATAATTTTTCTGTGGATATTTTTACCATAAAATCCGCTGCTAGTTTTTAAAGACCAGCAATCATGTTCCTATTGTTTAGTATAAAAGATCAGACTGTCTCATTTCAGAATGCATCTATGGTTTCACATTTTTAAAGGGATTTTGTGTATATGATTTGTAACGGCACGGTGCTTCTGGCTGTGAGTACAATCCTCCAGAGGGATTATGCTAAAAGAGTTTGGCCCCACATTAATAAACCTCAACACTGATGGATAAAAGAGGAGGGTCGTCTGGAGCCATTTCTCTTAAGGGCTGACTCACAGAAATGGAACTTAAAAATTCAACAAAGGATTTTGAGAATACAAACAACTATGAAAATTGTTAGAATGTAGGTGATTGAGGAAAACTGAAGACTATATTTTACTGCAGATCCCTAAAGAACAGATGGAAACTTCTCTACAGGAAGGACCACCCAGAAACTTCTCTTGATGTTTACATTTGTAGTGCTTCACCTAACCAGCACTGAGGCTTGCAAGCCTCCACCAAACAATGGTACAGAAAATGACCCAGAGTCAAAAATATAACTGCCACAAAGCCTCTCTCACTCTCTCTTTCCCCTCTCCCTCTCTCTCCCTCTCTCTCTCTCTCTCTCTGTGTGCACATGTATGTGTTGAGTGTGGGTGCACCCATGCCACCAGGATATGTGTGGAGGTCAGAGAAGAATCTTGGGTGTAGATCTTCATTGTTTACCTTGTTTGAGACAGGGTCTCACTGCCACCAGGTAAGCTGGCCTACAAGCTTCAGGGAATTCTCCTGTCTCCACCTCTGTCTCCTCAAAGAAACACTGGGATTGCAGACCCACATGCTACTGTATCAGCTTTACATGGGTTAAAGGGATTTGGATTCACGGCAAGTGCTTTACCCACTAAGCCATCTCCTGGCCCCATGGTTTTAAAAAATATTTTATCTATTAATTTTATTTTTGTGTATGAGTATATTACCTGCATGTAGGTAGGTGCACCCATGTCAAGCAATGCCTGTGGTGATCAGAAAAGGGTGTTGGATTCCCTGGAATAAATAATAAATAAATAAATAAATAAATAAATAAATAAATAAATAAATAAATAAAATATTAAAAAATAAGT